GATTGGCCAAATCCCGCAGTGACGTCATGTTCTGCATGTGCGCAAGTGCGGAATACTTCTTTAACCCTTTCTATGCTACAGATCTTTCTGCTGGGTGTCTTGCTAATTCTTTGGCTGCACATGAATTGAAAAAGGTTTGTTTTAACTCAGTGCTGGTGATATCCCTGATAATTGGAGGAGCCCGGTTGTGGTCTAGCTGTTAAGAAGGTGGCACTGGTCAAATAGTTTAGAAGTTGGGGCAGTATCCCCAAGGGATCAGGACCCTTTGAATTAATGTTCAGGTAACCTATCAGATGAAACAAGCTGGCAGAAGGCTTGCAATGCTTTGTGCAAAACTGACAAGTGGAAGGAGGAAGCTTCTACCAGTGTTGAATGGCCCTCCAGAACTTAAGGTAAGTCTGTGGACATATTGCCACAGAAAGTATGAATCTTAAGATTTTGCCTGTGTAGCATCATAAATCATTGGGATGTGTATTGGAAATTCTCTTACAAGGAATTTTAGATCCAAAATTATAAGATGCCCTCTTGTGCAATGTTATCATAATAGTTTGCATTAATTAGTATTGAGGCTAAACCTCATGCACAACCTCCTTACAGGCCAGGCCTCAACAAAGTGGTTCATTGTATTGTGCATTAACACATGAGGAGTCTTTAAGTAAGTAGAGGATAAGAGAGTGGGGAGAGGAAAGAAAATGGTGTGTAAAATGTGTGTTTAGTTGTTTCTTTGTAATGTGACAGGAGTAAAGACTACTCCCCCCTCCCCTTTCCAGAACAGCAAATAGGCAGGTGACGCAGGGGGAGCAGAAACCATGCTGGTTATTGCGTTGATAAGCATGTGTTGTAATTAAGTGATCATAGTTTCTTAACCATGGTAAAGTTATATATATATTTTTTATTTAGAAACAAAATCTTTGGTATGAAACTGATATCATGAACTGATATACTGAACATCCCTTGAATTTAGGTAAAAAGTGCAGTTAAAGTGGTTCTAAAGGCTCAAGGTTTTATACCTTCATGTATTCTATGCATGAAGGTACAAAACCTTCTGTATGCAGCACCCTACCCCTAGTCCTTACCTGAACTCCTTCCAATCCAGCAATGTTCTCGACAACCTCTGCTATTTGGGAATCTTCCTCCTCATTGGCTGAGACAGCAGCAGGAGCCTATTGGCCATTGAGCCAATGAGGGAAGGGGGGGGGGCAGGTCTTATGGACACAGAGCAGCGGCTCGGAGACGAGAACACAGTAGAGCCCCCTAGTGCAAGCGGTTTTTCCCTAGGGGGAGGAGCCAGGAGCACCGACAGGAACCTGAAAAGAAGAGGATCGCGGCTGCTCTGTGCAAAATCACTGCACAGAGCAGGTAAGTATGACATTTTTTTTTTTTAAAAAAGCTTTAGTGTCGCTTTAAAAATATAAATGTTCTTAAGAACCCATTCTAGAAAAATGTGTTTGTTGAATTGCTGATATACTGTACCTAGAAGGGAAGCTGAATTGTTTTATTTCTGCAACCTTTTGAGCTAGTTGTTTCTTAAACATTGCTAAATTGCATAACTGTTCTCACATCTTACAGAACAAAGAAAAAAATGTATGATAGAGTTGTCTAAATAAGTTTTTTCTGTAGAACCTAACGAGTTCCGCAGCCGTATAGCAAAAATACTGCTACAGGGCAGCATGTGTGCGCAAAATCACGTATATATATACATGATTTTGCAGTTCCGGGTAGGGGGCACGCATGCACCCTAGCCACACTGCCATTCGCGGCCTTGGCTGTCAATCATCATCCCAGTGATCACCCAGTGATCGCCGAATATCTCCAACTGGGGAGAGACCTGTATGTAAACAATACAGATCTCTCCCTTGTTGGCTCCTGCAGACTGCTTTGCATGGCTTTGCATAGCAGAGCCATACAAAGTAGTGTGCTTACAGTGAAGCACACACACAGCCCCATAGTGAAATAGCACACAGTTAACCCTTTGAATGCCCCAAATGTTAACCCCTTCATGCCCAGTGCCATTAGTACAGTGCCAGTGCTTTTTGATAGCACTGATCACTATATTGGTGTCATTGGGGATGTCAGTGAAACCAAGTAAGTTTCCCCCAGAATGTCTGCCGCAGTCCTGCTATAAGTTGCTGATAATTGCCATTACTAGTAATAAAAAAAAAAATTCCAGTATATATACAGCCATTTGTAAACGCTATAACTTTCCCGTGAACCAATTAATTTACATGTATTGGGATTTTTCTTAGCAAAGACGTAGCATAATACATTTTGGCCTAAATTTATGACGAAATTTGATCTTTAAAATTTTTTTAATGGACATGTTTAATAGCAAAAAGTAAAAAACATTTTTTCCTCAAAATTGTCTTTTTTTTTAATTTATAGTGCAAAAAAAATAAAAAACACCCAGGCAATCAAATACCACCAAAAGAAAACTCTATTTGTGGGGAAAAAAGGATGTACATTTAATTTGGGTGCAATGTTGCATGACCGTGCAATTGTCAGTTAAAATAATGCTACACCATATTGCAAAAAATGGCCCGGTCATGAAAGGGGGTAAATCCTTTGGAGGGCAAGTGGATAAACAGTTTTCCATATCTGAAATATATAGTCTGTAAGTTTGGGAATTTACAAGTCATATTTTATGGGTTCTTAATGTATGAATTTTTGCTCTCTTTTATCGTTAAAGGCAGAGCAACCTTTGAATCAGTGTTCATCTGAGTACAGAAGGACTGTACAGATGAGGAAATAAAAATAGTAGTATTGTAATAATAATACAAATGAGATGGAAGACAATTTAGGCTCTTCTTGTATTTATGTTATGTTTATGTTGATTCATTCAGTTGGAGCAAATATGGTGACAATATGTTGTGTGGAGAGAGATGATAGGAAACGCTCTCTCCTGCAATTTATAATACCTAAAGTTTTATAGTGTCCACTCTCTGAGCTCCAACCTTCAGCTTCAGGCTGCATAGAACTCCATTCTGCAACACAGGTTACAAGATCCATCACTTCCCTTAGCAAAATCAGCACACATAGTACATTAAAACACTCCCTAGGCACACAGATAACCCTTTGATAACCCTTTGATTGCCCTAGATGTTTAACCCCTTCCCAGCCAGTGTCATCAGTACAGTGTCAGAGCATATTTTTAGCACTGATCGTGTCACTGGTTCCCACAAAGTGTCAGTTAGTGTCCATTAGTGTAAAAATGTCTGCTGCAACATTGCAGTCCCGCTATAAGTCGCTGATCACTGCCAGTACTACAAAAAAAATAATTAAATAAAAATTTCATTGTATACCCCATAATTTGTAAACGCTTTAAATTTTGTATAAACTAATCAATATACACTTTTTGGGATTTTTTTAAACAAAAATTTGCTGCCTTTAGTTTGAGTTATTGTCTGTGTTATACTAATTGTCACGGACTGCCAGTGCCTCTCCCATCCCCCGCCATATCCCTCCACCCCTCCCTTCCCCCTTGCACATTCTGACGTCTGGGGAGCTTCCGTGGACAATGCTGGGCCGGCTGTTGCCGAGGCAACCTAGCCGTGTCCCACTTGGTTTTCAAAAGACCCGCACAGGAAGCAGCCCTTCTCTCTCTGTTCCTGTCCATGCTGCTGGAATCATCTTGCTCCCAGAAAGATGATGGGAGGCTCAGGTGAGGGGGACCGAGCCTCCCCAGCCATCCCCCCTGCGCACTCTGCAGACCCCCAAAAGATCAGGACTGTAGCCTTCTGCAATACCCCAGGGTTGGGAGTCTCCACAGCTCTGCATGAGCCTTCTCCTCAAAGGTCACACCCCACAGCTCAGACCCTGCAAGTCCGTAAGCCTGTCTACTGAGCACCCTTGCACCCTGGCTGCTGCTGAGTGACCCTGCATGCATACTATCCGTGGCTGGTCGTCTCTGTCTGGAGCCGCCTGCCGCTGAGGGTCTGCAAGCTGCTTACCGTGAGTGTCCTGAACTGTCCCTGTTGTGCGCTCTGACCACCTGTGTCCTGAACTGTCCCTGTTGTGCGCATTGACCACCTGTGTCCTGAACTGTCCCCGCTGTGTGCACCGACCACCCGTGTTCTGAACTGTCCCTGTTGTGCGCACTGACCACCTGTGTCCTGAACTGTGTCTGCTGTGTGCACCGACCAACCGTGTCCTGAACTGTCCCTGTTGTGCGCACTGACCACCTGTGTCCTGAACTGTGTCTGCTGTGTGCACCGACCACCCGTGTTCTGAACTGTCCCCGGTGTGTGCACCGACCACTCGTGTCCTGAACTGTCCCCGCTGTGTGCACCGACCACCAGTGTTCCAAACTGCCCCACGGTGTGCATTGACCACCTGTGTCCTGAACTGTGCCTGCTGTGTGCACCGACCACCCGTGTTCTGAACTGTCCCCGGTGTGCACCGACCACTCGTGTCCTGAACTGTCCCTGCTGTGTGCACCGACCACCCGTGTTCCGAACTGCCCCGCTGTGTGCACTGACCACCCATGTCCTGAACTGTCCCTGTTGTGCGCACAGACCACCTGGGCTATGCACTGCCCTACTACATGCCTAGACTACCCTTACTTGAACCGCCCCATAGCGTGCCCAGAGTATAGCTACCTGTGGTGCCCCTGAGTGCTTGAGCCATCGCTACCCGTTGAGTCCCCGTGAACCCAATGTCCCTAGAAAGCTGGGTGGGAGCTGTGCTGAGGCCAGACTCCATAGCTAGAGTCCCGTTGAGTCCCCGAGGCCCCTGCCCAGTGGTAGGTTGTCGCTTGTTGCCCAAGACCCCTGTCCAGGAGTAGATTGCCGCCTGTTGCCTGAGGTCCCTGCCCAATGGTAGGTTGCCGCCTGTTGCCCGAGACCCCTGCCCAGGGGTAGATTGCCGCCTGTTGCCTGAGGTCCCTGCCCAGTGGTAGGTTGCCGCCTGTTGCCCGAGGTCCCTGCCCAGTGGTAGATTGCCACCTGAGGTCCCTGCCCAGTGGTAGATTGCTGCCTGTTGCCAAGGTCCCTGCCCAGTGGTAGATTGCCGCCTGTTGCCCAAGGCCCCTGCCCAGTGGTAGGTTTCCGCCTGTTGCTCGAGACCCCTGCCCAGGGGTAGATTGCCGCCTGTTGCCCAAGGTCCCTGCCCAGTGGTAGGTTGCTGCCTGTTGCCCGAGTCTCCAATCCGCTGTCCAGTCACGGATGGAGCTCGGCTGAGGCCCCAAGCCTAGGGGGGAGATTGCCTGCCTGTTGCCCGAGACCCCTGCTCAGGGGTAGGTTGCCCGCCTGTTGCCCTGGAATCGTCCCTGGTTTGCGCACACATCACCCTCCCTGCCATTTCCCTATTGAGTTTCTGTAATTTTGTTGCTTCAATAAAGTTTTTGTGTGTTCCCCATCTTCTCCGTGTGCTCTGTCCTGCCTACGCTTCCGTTACACTAATGTTTTTGTCATTTATGTGCCATTGATAGCACCTGCGTGGGCGCACCTTTTGCTCTGTTGGTGTTAGAGCACTGTTTTTTTATTTTTTTTTAATGTGCAATTGATAGCCCCTGCGTGGGCGTGTTTTGTTGCTCCTGTCTTAAACTGTTTATAAATTAATAAAAACATTGAAATACAAACATAAATTTGTAGTAGAAAAGATTTTGGCATAAATTTATAAAGAAATTTTATTTTTTAATTTTTTATGGGATATGTTATATAGCAGAAAATAAAATATATATATTTTTTCAAAATTGTTTTTTTTTCAAAATTGTTTTTTTTTTGTTTATTGCGCAAAAAATAAAAAATGCAGTCTTGATAAAATGCCACCAAAATAAAACTCTTTCTGGGGAAAAAAATTAAAAATTTTAGTTACGTACAGCATTACATAACAGTGCAATTGTCAGTTAAAGTAACGAAGCGCTGTACTGCAAAAAATAGCCTGGTCAGGAAGGGGGCAGATCACAAAATTTTCTAGTATGCTGGAAATTTAGGTACAATGGGTGCCTACTTACAAGCCAATGGGTTATAAATTCTTGTTATGGACAAAATCATTATAAGTATCATGGACATATTTATAACCAAATTATTTAAAATCATAACACAATGTTGCAAGATATCTATGTTTATTGTCTATAAAAAAATACAGTGTGTGTGTATATATATATATATATATAACTACACCTCTTTATAGTTAAGGTGTTACATTTAAAGTATTGCTACACCAGAAAGATAATGGTCATACATTTGCAATGCCCAGTCCTACGTATTCTATATATTTGAAATAATATCACTTGTCCTCACTTGTTATAGTAAACTCTTATTTGATTCTATAATACATTATTTTATAAGATCAATTTCAATAAGATAAACTTAGTATAAACAATTCTTGTCATAGAGTGTCACCAGGTGGCTAAGTATGGTAATGTAAAAATAAAGATGGGTTTGGTAACTAAACAAATTCACCAATCATAACAAAAGTTCCACTTTCTGGGCCAGGTTTGTTCAAATTTTAGGAATGTACTGTGTTCCATTAGATAAAGAGGATGTCAGGTAGACATGAGACACAAAGACCATCTAAGGTGATCATCTAGACATCATCTGAACACATGGGAGGACACCCACCAGAAACATCTGATACACATCATCTGACACCTCACTGAGTCAGAACACATAGCTCCAAGCCTATCTAGATGCCATTTTGAGGAAAGTTCAACTCCACCCATCTTTGGGTCTGATCAGCAGCCATCTTTGGGTTTGACCATCAGTCATCTAAAAGGTTACCTGATATTTGAAGGGTAATTATGATCTATTTTCTGGTGATTCTGCTTGCCTAAATTAACATAGTCCATTGCTATCTTTCTTGTTGTAGCCTAATCACTCTCCCCACGATAACATAACCACCAAAATTATTTTGTTTTTAAGTATTATTTTTCTGTTCTTGGGCCACATTGGCACACAGTTTTGTGTAGTTTGATGCTTACTCCTTCTGCAGAGGAATAATAGTTGATTTTCGTAAAACACAGTTTATTGTCTGATGATTATTTAACATGGTTATACGGGGAGAAATTAATGATTGGATTTAAATTACTACTGTATATATCTACTCTGTTTTTATAGACAGTTTAAGAATTTTTACGCAAAATATCTTAGTGTTTATGCATATCACAATCTGACCATTATTTATGGTGTTTGTAAGTGACTTATGTAAAAAAATATTAATTTATTTAATATATTGCAGTCCATACCAATCTTGTTTGTGTTCCTAAAAAAGTTCAGTTTGGCTAAAATTTACTCAAAATAATAAATTAAGTCAATTAAATTATTTTTACATTTGGAGGCACTTTTAGCTGAATAAATTATTTGTCTAGGCATAACATCAGGTACAGCTAAACAAAGGCTATTTTACACTGTGACAGTGTCTTGACAGTGGAGAGCATCTGTTGGGAAGTCATAGCTTGTGGTTCACAAAATGCAGGGGTTAACAAATCCTCAACAGTCTCTCTGCAACAGTATACACTATATTGCAAAAAGTATTTGAACACCCCTCCAAATCATTGGATTCAGATGTTCCAATCACCTCCATGGCCACAGGTGTATAAAATCAAGCACCTAAGCATGCAGACTGCTTCTACAAACATTTGTGAAAGAATGCTTGCTCTCAGGAGCTCAGTGAATTCCAAAGTGGTACCGTGATAGTTTGCTACTTGTGCAATATGTCCATCCGTGAAATTTCTTTGCTACTAAATATTCTACGGTCAACTGCTAGTGCTATTTTAACAAAGTGGAAGCAATTGGGAATAACAGCAACTTAGTCACAAAATGGTAGGCCACTTAAAATTACAGAGTGGGGTCAGCACATGCTGAAGTGCACAGTTCGCAGAAGTTGCCAACTGTCTTCAGAGTCAGTAGCTAAAGACCTCCAAACTTCATGTGGCCTTCAAATTACCACAACAACAGTGTGTAGAGAGCTTCATGGAATGGGTTTCCATAGCCGTGCAGATGTATCCAAGCCTTACATCACCAAGTGCAATGCAAAGCATTGGATGCAGTGGTTTAAAGCATGCTGAAGTGGAGACATGTTCTCTGGAGTGATGAATCATGCTTCTCTGTCTGGCAATCCAATGGATGTGTCTGGGTTTGGCAGTTGCCAGGAGAACGGTACTTGCCAGACTGCATTGTGCCAAGTGTAAAGTTTGGTGGAGGTGGGATGATGGCGTGGGGTTGTTTTTCAGGGGTTTTCTTGGCTCCTTAGTTCCAGTGAAGGAAACTCTTAAGGTGTCAGCATACCAGGACAATTTGGACAATTTCATGCTCCCAACTTTGTGGGAACAGTTTGGAGATGGCCCCTTCCTGTACCAACATGACTGCGCACCAGTGCACAAAGCAAGGTCCATAAAGACATGGATGTGTGAGTTTGGGGTGGAGAAACTTGACTGGCCTGCACAGACTTCTGACCTCAACCCAATAGAACACCTTTTGGATGAATTAGAGTGGAAACTGTGAGCCAGGCCGTCTTGTCCGACATCAGTGCCTGACCTCACAAAAGTGCTTCTGGAAGAATGGTCAAACATTCCCATAGACACACTCCTAAACCTTGTGGACAGAAGATTTGAAGCTGTTATAGCTGCAAAGAGTGGGCCAACTCAATATCGAACCCTACGGACTAAGACTGGGTTTCCATTAAAGTTCATGGGCGTGTAAGGCAGGAGTCCCAATATTTTTGGCAATATAGTGTATGTGTCCCCATCACTTTCATCCATTTCATCTTCAAAGAGCTTCGGAAGAAAAGGGTCAAGGGGGTCTTTGCCCCTGGAAACAAAAGGTTCAAGAAGTTCCAAAGTTTTCAGAAAAATTAAGACAAAGTGGCAGAAAAATCTTTGTTTGTCAGACAAGCTGCATGATGTGCTCTCTTGAAATAGCTAGAGTCAGAAGAGTTGAACAATGTCAAAATAGTAAAAGGGAACAGCTATCACCCTGAGATGTGTTTTGAGCTTCCTTTAGGCCATTGGCAGAGTGCATATAGTTTGGTTCCTTGCTCCAGTTAAAGTGAGGGGATCCCTGATAGGGTACTCACGGAAGAACTATGAAACAGGGTTTTGTGTGTATGAAATGCAGGAACTGCTGTAACCCAGGAGCTATCCATGTTCCTTGACAGCATCTCTGTAGCAGAGGGTGGCAGGAAGTGCCGACTCATAGGTCCCAACAACCTTTTTCTGAAGACCATAGAGAGAGCTCTTTTGACCTTGGTTCTGATGGTTCTGATGACACCACACATGTCAACACCAAATCGAACATGAGACCCTATATATCTAAGGATTAAGTAAGACAACTTCTACCTTCATAAGGGAGTATCCACCTAATATGGAACAAATGTGTTGAAAAAGTCAACCTTTTTTGGGTGTACTTACTTTTTCCCATGACTGTATCTAGCAGCAATTATTAGGTGGGCTACACCCCACCTAATACTTTCCAGCCTAATAAAATCTCCAAAATATGTATTACTTCAGCATGCATATAGCTATGCCTAAATGCATATTATTATGGTGTTTCTCTATTTATTTCACTCTGAAGAGTATACTCATGTTTTATAAATACATTATCTGTACTTCTCATTGTGCAATTCATAACATGCATTCATACACTACTTGGACAAGGGTATTTTTAGAAAAGCAGTAAGTGATTTTTTGAACATATTAATTATGTATTGAGAGCTTTGTTTTGTGTCACATTTAGTATTTCCTTCTGTGGAGGCAGTTTGAATATGAGCTAAATTATGTGTTCAGTCCCAAAAAAGCTAACATAAATTAGACTTCATCAATGTAGTTATCCTGCTTTAATAAAACATTACTCAATGTTTTCTGTACAATAATTAGGAAATTTGAATGTGTTCCCACAATGTTCCAGTTAATTTTCTCTCTCTAGTATGCAGACATACTGGACAAGTTCATTACTACACAATCAGCTAAACATTTGATTTCCTTCTCTCCTTATTTCTCACCAAGATGGAGCACTTTAGGCTCCGTGCATGCTAGCTTAAAAATAACTTCCTGGCAACTACTTATGACCAATTTTTGTGCCTCAAAAAGCAAATAGTCTTATCCTACGTGTCCATGTACACTATTGTAGACTAGAAGCATTTTTGGTGTTTTTGGGAGCAGTTTGCCAGCAGAAAAAAATGCTGAATACTCTTAAAAGCTGCTAACTGCTAAAGCCAGTTTTCAGCTTTTTTATTCCCTAATGTTAGCCACAAGCGTCCTTAACAACCAGTAAATAGCTGGCTGCTAAGTAGCAGTCCTGCAA